ACTGTATTTGCTCTATTTTTTTTCCACCATTTATGCTTAACTTGCAATTGTTCATTCCATTTATCCTGTTAAATACTGTTGTCTTAGTTTATGATACATTAATTTTGAAATCTATATTCCTGCTTACTATGTGTTTAATTAATTTTTACTTTTCCCAAGATGAGGCAGTCCTTAAATCCTATAAATGTGGGATTGTCTTAACATTTCATCTCTGTGGCTGGTACGGGAAACGGACAAGGGAGAAATGAAATATTAACTAAAAGATGGGTAAAATCTACTCCCAACAAGCTTGTTTTCTGTGGTGCTAACTATAGCCAAGCAATCTGATTTCAAGGCTTCAGAGGTTAAAACTAGATTATATTTCTGAATTAAATGGATTACTGAAACAATTCCAAAAGATAATCATTTATGCCACAGTAGCACGCTATGGAAAGCACAGCATAAGGTCATAGAACAGCACTGACAAATGTTTGTAGAAGTTCAAAAATATTTAGAGAATAAACCCAAAGGAAACTGTTAATGGAAAATAGCCTAATAAGAATGCTCACTGTTCACATCTTCCCAGGTAGGATATAGATAAATGCCAATAAAGAGGGAACATACTGTAATGAAGCACCATAAATAAATGGAGCATATTGTAATGTTTGTGTGCTATTGTACCAACAGTAGAGTCAGGTAAATAGAAAATATTCCTCAGCTTCCCAAATATATATGAATCCCACAGAAGAATTTCAAATATATTTGAATCTCTCAGAAGAATCTCAGTGGAGGAAAAGAGGCCTATTTGTCATACAATAGTCAAAATTTATTTGCTCCTACCCCAAATAATGCATGCTACAAAACAGTCATCATTTGGAAATCTTGTGATTCTCCTTTAATGCAGTGATAATAATAATAATAAAAAAACAGGTCAGATTGGTTCAGCTACGGTTGTGCACCATTTTGGATTAGAAGGGAGAAATCAGATTTGAAGCGCAGGTGCAAAGGGCAGATGTGAACCTAGGAAAAAAGCTGCAGCTGCTTTAAGAAACTTCCACAGTTGGAGCTACATCTGGACCTAAGCCTGCTCCAAATCAGATTACTTTCTTTGAATCTACAGAGTTTGTAGCCCAGAAAAACAGAATAAAGCCATGCCTGTTGGCAACTGACTGAAACAACTATCTGATGAATTTTCATAGAAATATCTTTGCCTCTTAAGCACCGTTAACTCAATCATACTGTGTAACCATGGAGTATAAAACATGAGGGTGTTTCTTTCAAAGAGATAGGCATTGTTTCAAAAACTTGATAAATTAGAAGCAAGAAGGCATTCTAATTTGAATTTAAATGAAACATGTTAGCATTCAATAATGCAATGCTTTTTCAAGCAAGGTTTCATTACAATAGCTCATAATGAAGAAAATTAAACTCATCTGATAGCATACTTTGTATATTACAAAGATAGTGGAATATACATACAAACGATAGTAGTATATGTTAGTGGAACGGCTTGCTTCCAGAAGTTGTGGATGCTCCATCATTGGAGGTTGTTAAGAAGAGATTGGATGATCATTTGTCGGAAATGGTATAGGGTCTCCTGTTTGAGCAGGGGGTTGAATTAGAAGACCTGAAAGGTCCTTTCCTGTTATAGGACCTATTTCTCATTTGCAGCATTAAGGTACTTAATAAGGTAAAGGTAAAGGTTTCGCTTGCACATATGTGCTAGTCATTCCCAATTCTAGGGGGCGGTGCTCATCTCTGTTTCAAAGCCGAAGAGCCAGTGCTTTCCGAAGACGTCTCTGTGGTCATGTGGCCGGCATGACTAAATGCCAAAGGCGCACGGAACGCTGTTACCTTCCCACCAAAGGTGGTCCCTATTTTTCTACTTGCATTTTTATATGCTTTTCAACTGCTAGGTTGGCAGAAACTGGGACAAGTAACGGGAGCTCACCCTGTTACGCGGCACTAGGGATTCGAACTGCTGAACTGCCGACCTTTCAATTGGCAAGCTAATTGTCTTAGTCACTGAGCCACCTCATCCCTTCAAGGTACTTAATAGGTTTCCCCAAACTGGCATTAAGCCTTAAATGAAACTAAGCAATTTAGCAGATATACAGAAAAATAAAATCAGTGCAGGGCACCACTTACTCCTTTATACATTGTCAATGATTTTTAAAAAGCATAGGCAGTCACCGGGCTCCAATGTCATCAGTGTTTCCTACCCTTAACGCAGAGGTGTCAAACCCGCATCATCACTGCATCATCATGTGACGTATTGGGACTATTTTCCCCTTCGCTAGACCGGGCTTGGGCGTGTGGCCAGCGGTGTGATGCATCCGGCCTGTGGTCCGCAAGTTGACAGCCCGGCCTTAATGGATGTGTGGACTTCAACTCCCAGAATTCCTTAGCCAGCATATTGTAAATTCTGGGGACCAAAGTCCACACACACCTTAAAGATGCTGAGATTGAGAAAACACTGCTCTAGCAAAACATGAGCAAGTGAACATAACCACTGTAAAGAAAGTTGGATGAAGTGAAAAGAAAAATACATGGAATGGGAGAATGCATTAAAAAGTGCTGTCTCTCCAAAGTCAGGTTGTTCAGGTGTGCTTGGGGTGAAATTATCAGAATTCCCAGTCATGTCAGCATAGGAATAGAGGTTGCTAAATGGACGCAAGGTTAGGAGAAAGGCATCTTAAAATGGAAGAAAATTTTCCTCATGGAGGAAAATGAGAAAAAAAAAGAACACAGAGGAGATATAAGTTAGTTTTTGGTTGGGGAAAGCAAGAACACCTGAATGCCTTAAAGTAGCAATAGCAATAGCACTTAGACTTATATACCACTTCACAGTGCTTTACAGCCCTAATCAATAGCACTTAGACTTATATACCACTTCACAGTGCTTTACAGCCCTAATCGGTTACAGAGCCAGCATATTGCCACCAACAATCTAGGTCCTCATTTTATTGACCTCGGAAGGATGGAAGGCTGAGTCAACTTTGAGCCTGGTGAGATTTGATCTGCCAAATTGCTGGCAGTCGGTGATCAGCAGAAGTGGACTGCAGTACTGCACTCTAACCACTGCGGCTCTATTAAGTAAAGGCATATTCTCATATTCAGCCTGAAAATATTCTGCAGCGGAAACTGAAATGCAAGAGCAACATACATCAGAACAGTCCTGACTATGGAAGAGAAGGTGGATTCCATGCGGATGTAAAGCTGTCTTCAACAGCTTGCTTTCAAAAACCCAAAAGCAGGGCTGTCAAACTCGTGTAGTCACAGCAGCATCATGTGACATATCGGGACTTTTTTCCCCTTCACCAAACCGGGCATGGGAGTGGCCGGTGTGTGACACATCGGCCCGCGGGCCACGAGTCTGACAGTCCTGCCCTAAAGCAAAGCTCCTTCTTTTCTTTATATGAGCCTCAAAACTGCTTTAAAGAACCAAGAGACCATTCAGCCTGATGTACAGTAGGCATGTAAGTCTTAAGTTGATCCATCCCACCAACCACATTTAAACAAATGGAAGTCTTATCATCTCTTTGGATTGTTCTTGTTGGATTGTATAGAGATTTTCCAAACCATGCACTTTTGAAAAAATACATTATGTTAGACCAGGGATCAGCAACCCGTGGCTCTGGAGCCGCATGTGGCTCTTTCATCTCTTTGCTGCAGCTTCCTGTCACTGGTCAGCTCCACAATTGATAGGGCTTTCGGCTAGGACAGGTAGAGGAAAAAGGACACTGTACTAGGAGGAGACTCTATGGTGGGGGAACTGGACTTCCAGTCGGCTCCAGAATTGAATGGGGGGCTTCCGGTTAGGACCTTTGTGGTTCTTTGAGTATTTAAGGTTGCCAACCCCTGTGTTAGACTGTTCTGTTAAGCCTCTTATTTTTTAACTCTCTTGTTTCCACCCTATCAAATCAAAGGATGTGGACAGAGAACTTGAAAGCTTCCACCGGGCAGTATTACTGATCCCTGTCAGATTCCGTCTCAGCTATGCAAAACAGTTGGGGCACTCAGAGGAGGAGATGGGGGAAAAATTAATCAATCTTTAACTAAAAATGCCTCCCATTCCGTGAACACATTTCATTAATGTGTCCAGTGAGATATTACATGCAAACTGTTAAGTTGCTTTACTCATGCGTTCATTATTTTTATTAGCGCCTTCAAGTGCTTTTTAGTAGAAAAGAAGGATATAAACATTTCTTAAGTCAAATAAATATCACCCAAATGTTTCTCACGACAACGTTCTCATATATACTCACATCTACTATCCACTGAATAACATTTCCATTTTATACATGAGGAACTGAGTTAAATCTGTCTTATGAAGGCTGCAGAGCCACAATATTTCAGAACAGTAAATACTGACCACGCTGGAATATTAGAAGCTTACATATGTTCTTTCCTTTTAATGGCAGAAAAATCACCAAACTGCACACTAAGTCTTGAAACAGGTTTAACAAAAGATTCTCTCACACTCTTCTCCAGTTCATCTAATTCAACGAATCCATCACTGAATTCCAAGAAACATAGGAAATCTTGTCCTCAGATAGATCTACAATAAAAGCCATCACTCACTCAATGTGATTGTTACCAAATATCTACTACAGCCCTAGCTTTCAAAAGATTGTTCCCTTAATGGGTCAAACAGGCCTGGTGGCTCAGCAGACTGATAGCATTGTGATTAACACCAGCTGTCTGCAATTACTGTAAGTTCGAATCTCACCAGGCTCAAGGTTGACTCAGCCTTCCATCCTTTCTAAGGTAGGTAAATTGAGGACCCAGTTTGTGGGGGCAATAAGCTGACTTTGTATAAATATACAAAAGTATGAAGGCTATTGCTTAACGCCTTGTAAGCCGCCCTGAGTCTCCGGAGAAGGGCGGCATATAAATCAATTTTTTTTAAAAAAACATTTCTATCTCATTCTTTTTTTCTCTACTCTCTTTTACTCCCTCCCTACTAGCCTGAAGTAATGGTTTTCCTCTTTCTACCATAAGAAGAAGTGGATTCCCACCTTGGCAGATACACCTCAACCTTTTGTTTCTTCACAGAGGTTGCCCATTCCTCGATCAGCTGGGCTTTGACCAAAGGCTCCAGTGTGGCTAGTGGTACTTCCTGCCTGGAGAGAACGATCATCATGCTGAACTCATCTCCCTCATAGGGTATTTCCAAGACTTGATAGATGCCTCCTGCTTCATTGGATCCATCACTGAATTCCCCTAAAAGCGAAACAAAACCCCAAAGAGTTAGTTGAACCTTTTCATTTCGATGGGGAATATGGCTCCATTTTTTTGTGGAAAAGAAAAAAGATAAATAGAACGTCATATTTTTAGTTGGTTTTTCTTTGGGGATATATCTAATAGACCTGGGGTATCAAACTCTGGCCCATGGGATGCTTAGATCTGGCCCACAGGGCCAGCCTGGAAACAGCAAAGGAACAGCCCATGGTGCCTTATGACTCACTATACCAGTGATGGCTAACCTTTTTGCCATCGCGTGCCAGGAGCTAGGGGGGGGTCATGCGCATGTGCCCACACCCATAATTCTATGAGCCCTGTCCCCATGCAGGCACATGTGACCGCCGCTCCTGGCATGTGATGGCACGTTAGGCCTGTTTTGTGCTCTCCCCAGCCTCCAGAGCCTTTCTAGGAGTCTAGGGAGGGCAAAAACGGCCTTCTCCACCCTCCCGGAGGCCCTCTGGAGGCTGAAAACAGCCTGTCTGCCAACTTCCAATCCCACCGGAAGTAGGCAAATACAATTCTGGCCTCCGGAGGGCGTGGGGAAGGCCATTTTCACTCTCCCCAGACTGCTAGAAAGGTTCTGGAGGCTGGGGAGAGAGAAAAATGGGCCTTTCGCACCACTTTCCTCCGGAGGCAGGAAACAGCCTGTTTCCCTACTTCTGGTGGGCGCAGAAGGCCCGATAAACAGCTGGCTGGTGTGCGCATGCACGCCGGAGCTGATCTTGCATGCCCACCAATATGGCTACGCGTGCCACCTATGGCACATGTGCCATAGGTTCGCCATCACGGCACTATACTATTTCTTATGGGAAAAATCTGTTTGGTATTCTTTGTTTTCTCCCAGAACCAATTAATGATGAGTACCAAGGTAGCATTGTACTATCCTATTATAAGTGAAGAATTAAAACAGAAAGTTACTATTTGTCTTGTAGGAAAAGTGAGAATCAAGTTACAGGTAGTTTTCACTTAATGACTGATTGCTTAGTGACTATTCATAGTTATGATTACCCTTCCCAGAACTAATTATGTTTTGATTTAGAAGTTTCGATGACTGCACCCATCTTGTGTGGTCGTAATTTGGGTGCTTTTCAACTGACTTGCATTTCCATCCATTTGCAGTGGTTATGTGACTTTGATTTTGAGAATTTTAGGGTTGGTTTTCAGCATTTGTTTCTGGTTTCTGGCAAAAATCACCCACTGGGGAAAATGGGTTTATTTAATGACTAATGACACTTAATGACCACAGTGTTCATTTAACAACCACTGCAAAAAGATTGTAAAATTGGACATGGTGACAGGATGTGCTGTTTTACAACCACTATGACAATCATAATTCTGGGCTCAATTTTGGTCATAAATTGAGAACCGCCTGTACTGTAATCCATAGATAAAAACAGATATCAGAGCCAGCAATTACTGAAGTTCATGGAGGCTTCTTTGGGGCATTATAATGAATACTTTATTTAAGAGATACTGTTGAGAGACTGTTATTTGGCATCAGAACTGAAGAAACAAAAGATGCTGTATAGAATTTATAAAAAAAGATCTAGTTTGCAATAAGGCAGCTAGGAAGAAAATGAGCATTTTTGTTCCTTACCATAATAAAATTCGCCTTGCTGATACATCATGGGAATTTGTACTTCACTTTCATCATCCTTCGTAAAGGAGAAGGTTCTTGTGTTCTCTGGTCTGAACTGAGACTTCCAATTTCCCTTAAAGTAGATTGCATCGACAATAGCCAAGTGAGTGAGAACACTGAAATCCCTTGCCGAGACAAAATCTTTAATCATATCTGTCAGATGAAAAAGGAGAAGAAGCACATCAATCAGCAGATCCAAATGAGCATAATGAGAATAAAAACTTAACCAACTTGCTCAATGAAACCAAACCAACAAACAAGTAAATATCCCAAAGGTGCTTTTTCAAGAGGCAACTGGATGTTCTTTTTTCCTTTTGAAGAAATTTCGCTTCTCATCCAAGAAGCTTCTTCAGCTCTGACAGGCTAGTGGGGAATGGAAGGATTTATATTCCTTGCAGACAGCTGGTAATTTGCATCCTTTTAAAGGGTCGTTGAAGCACTTGGAGGTTTATCTGTGTCCTCAGGGTCAGCTGAGTCTTGTTCCTGGTTCTTGTAGTATGCAATCCTCCCCCCACCCCGGAAATCTATTCCTACTCCCACACCATTCAAAGGATGTTCATCCCAAATTGTATAGCTAAAAGTTGGTAGAGCTTCTCAGTCATCCAGGTCATGGTTGTCCCAACCATGATCTGGATGACTGAGAATCTCTACAGACTTTAAGCAAGAAAATAATTAAAATAATTTCTAGATATTATGCCCACTTTAAACTACTACTTGGGCAAGGAAGTCAACAAGTTTTGAGCACAGGCAACCTACACCATTTAAGCATGACTAATTCATTCTAAATTTATATCACACTTTTCCTCCAAGAGCTCAAATGACATGCATCTGTATTCCATCTTCCAGTTTTAATCATTCAGCCATATCTTTGTGAAAGTTGATGGGCTGAGGTAGTGACTGGCCAATACCAACCCTTCCGCCCTTATAATTTATAGTTTGCAAACTAACTTCCTTCCTTCCTTCCTTCCTTCCTTCCTTCCTTCCTTCCTTCCTTCCTTCCTTTCTTCCTTCTCCCTTTCTCCCTCCCTCCCTAAATATAGATATGAACATTTATTCTTGACTGAATACTCAGTACCCATATGGATTCAATCATGATTGAATAGTCAATCACTATACTATACTCGCTTTCTGTCCCAAAACACTGACATAAAAGTTTTACTAACTTAATCAACTAAATTTAATTACAGCTCTGGAGAAGCAAAATGTGTCAGGGTTCCAAGTAACACCCCCAACAAAAGAAGACTCCGAGGTTAGAAGTTCCTCAAAGTTCCATTTTATTAGAGATGTCATATTGGCACATCTGAGAAAACCCAAATCTGAAAGCTTCCAGAATTCCTCCACCCAAAAGAAAGCCCTAGTTCCTTCCCCTGCACCCACATGTCCATCACATGGTCCAATTAATGCACCATCCCAACTGGAGATGCCTCCCAGTCACACCACTCCAGGTACAGGCCGAAAGTCCTTGACTCTCAGTGAAAGGAATGTTATTATGGCTAAATATCTCTGCCACTCCATGCAATCCCCCCTCCCAGTTTCCCACAGCATTAAGTGTGGCAGCCCTGAAGATCCAAAGAAAAAGATGGCCTCCAGAGCTGACAAGGTGTTAGTGAATACAAAGTGGATTAACTACTAGGATAACTGAAAGATGGAACATGGGGCAGACTTTGTAACCTTCCTGTATTCCCTTTCCAATGGTCAACAGTGAACCCAGAAGGAATTGGGTGAAACAAGAGAATTTGAAAGGCTCCTGCTGGCCTTAACAAATGAATGCCAGTGGCTTAGCTTCTCATCCTGAGCATTGCTTATAAGAGAAAAAGATTGTTTAGAAATTCAGTGGAGGAAGCTGTCAAGAGCCTTTGAGATCTGCTTTTGGAGCTTTGTCCATCAGTCTAGAACTTGATTGTTAGCTTGTTTGGTTATATCTATATTTTGCACTTGACCTCTATCAAGCTGTGACAATAGACTGACTCTCTAACTCCCTTTTGCTCTTAAGACATAGCTGTATTGAGTTTTTCTCATGTGAACTTGCTGTTCTGTGGGGAATGATTAACGAATGTAGTGTGCAGGATAACAACAGGCAGCTCTATCTTTGAAAGAGAAAGAGATGGCTTTTGAAAGTCATGTGTTTTTGTCTTTAGAGTCTCTTCACAACAACAAGAAAAGCAGAGTATGGAGTTACTTTCCAGTTACTTCTTCCAATTCTCATGAGCACATCTGTAGTTGTACCGGAGCACAGATTTAAAAATTGTATAGTTATTTGCAGCTATGCAACTCCATAGGTAGGGTTCGCAAAAAGGTAGGTTTTTTTGTAATTTTTTTGGCTTTCTAGTCGTTGTCAGGATTTTTGCAGAATGGATCTGCCAGCTCTCCTATACTTGAACAGTGAAACATTGGAAACTGCTGGATTTCCTGATCACAGGTCCCTGTCCTGCTGTGTATCAAAGGAGATGAGGTACGGGGGTTCAAAAGCTTCAAATCCACTCCCACCACTAAGAGAAATTTCCTATATTGACGACCTATAACTGCAGGAAAAGTATAAGCACCTGCATATGAAAACCTCATTCCAACAGAGGAGAATATCTGTAGCTCGGGGTTGAAATGAGGGATCTAGCACTGATGATCTTACCCAGTTTAGGTAATGAAACATCTGCAAGAAAACAATGAAGCTTAGAGAGCGCCAAGGACCTCTCAAAACCTCACAGGAGTAGTTTACTATGAAATGGAACTCACTGGGAGAAATTTCCTTAGGAGAATGAACATACTAACTACATGGCCTGAAGTTACATCATACAGGCAGGTATTATGTTATGATTGTGATTGAGCCTAGGAATTTCGATCATTAAGTTGTGATGGTCATAAGACAGGACAACATGTGACCAGACCTGACTTTATGACCTTTTTCATAGCAGTCATTAAGCGAAAGCAACAGTTGTTGTTGTTAGTTGTGAAGTCGTGTCTGACCCATCGCAATCCCATGGACAACATTCCTCCAGGCCTTCCTGTCCTCTACCATCCTCTGGAGTCCATTTAACTCATGCCTACTGCTTCAGTGACTCCATCCAGCCACCTCATTCTCTATCGTCCCGTTCTTCTTTTGCCCTCAATCTTTCCCAGCATTAGGCTCTTCTCCAGTGAGTCCTTCTCATTAGGCAGCCAAAGTATTTGAGTTTCATCTTCAGGATCTGGCCTTCTAAAGAGCAGTCAGGATTGATCTCCTCTAGGACTGACTTGTTCGTTTGCCTTGCAGTCCAAGAGACTTGCAGGAGTCTTGTCCAGCACCATAGTTCAAAGGCCTCAATTCTTTGGCGCTCAGCCTTTCTTATGGTCCAACATTCACAGCCATACATTGCAACTGAGAAAATCATAGCCTTAATGGGTTTGCTTAACAGTTGTTAGGCAAACCCATGGTTTGCTATGGACTGGGTTTTGCGGGAAGCAAATGCCATTTCCTAGCAAAACATTGTAAATCGTTTTGATTTGCGGGGTGGGCACTGCAATTGCCACAAATGTGGGCCAGTTGCCAAAAGCCCTAAAAGTGGTAACAAGGCCATGGGGGGGGGGGTCCAATCAAAACTGGATAGTTAAGTGATCTTTTGCAGGGGTGGGTAGGGGTCTGTTCTAACTTCGACTGACTGTAGAGACTATCTATTCTAATCTGGCTGCTGATAACAGTTTTATTCTTTTCTCACTGTATCACATTTTTTATATGGCTAAACAAAATAATCATATAGTTTGCTGCCAGTGAGACAGCAATTGCTTTGTATCTCAGGATCTAATAACTATGATAAACCTAATTTAAAAAGTGCTCAGAATTGCCTCACATCCCCTAATCTTAGCAAACTTTAATACTGCAAGGTAGAAGTACTTAAACTGAGAGTCAATGACTCAGATCAAAGGTGAGGTGTAAACACCATGCACACCTGCTGAGAACTCATCTGCACTGAATCAGAGGATAGGTTTTTAAATAAGTATGCATATAAACAGATTATGTCACTGACAGCATGAATGGGAGTTATGAGCTCCCAAGCTCTATCACAGTTTGGGTTTTTTAAAAAAACAATTGCAACAAAACAAGTAAACAATTAACTTTTTTAAAAAAGCCTACAATCTAAGGATGAAATGACAAATTTAGGAAATAATCTAGACAACATTTTGCATCAATGAGATATTAATTTACGTTTTAATATGTTTTGGAATCCAATGCTAATCAAGTAAAGTTACTAGAAATAACAATAACAAACCTGTTGAGATTCTTCATTGCTCTAGTACTTATAGGTTTATCTACATTTTACTAAAATCTTTTAGACATATACCAAAATGCAGAAATTGAAATGGGGATGGGAGGGAAGAGTATAGAAATACCTATATTTTAAATATCAGTCCATCTTTTGTTTTTGAAGAGATATCAATACTAGTATTTCTGAACAGGCTACTAAGCTATATATAATGGACTTATTTTAAAACTGCAAAACTTCTTTCACTTGCAGAAACTTGAATTTGATTATTTTTCAGAAGATGTCACAGCTAAGGTTTGATTCTGCTTACACAAACTATTCTACAATTCATTTACTTGGTTGAATGCTGTTTGCAATAATTGTGTGGTTTCTAAAACCCACATTTGCCCTCTCTCTGGCAATATTAATATATTATTATAGGCAATAAAATACATTCCAAGGTCTATAAACAATGGATATGTAGAGTCATACCATTGGTCTATTTAAGATAGAGAGGTAATAATTTTCCAAGAATTCAGGTACTTTTGTAATGCTGGGAAATGCATGTGAAATCTTGTGCATGTAAACCATGTGTTTTTCCACAGACCTACTGCCATCTCATCTTAATGGCATTGTTCCACTGAACAATCTTTCAGTAATATTGTTTTAAAGTTTTATCAATAGTGCATTTTAGCACTCAATCTGCCAACATTTGTTCAAGGAAGAGAGAGAGACATCTTGCATCTGTTAGAGCCTTGAGAGGCTTGTTAACCTAACATAGCAGCTGCTGTGCACACATTCGGAAATAAATCATTCCAATCAGAATGCATTGTCTGTGACCCGGGGTTTCCAAGGGGAATGGTTTGCATGCTTTTTGGTATATAATAATTCTGAGTTTGGAATTCTGCACTGACAGCAACGAATTTAATAACTATATCAGATTTCACGGGATCCATATTGTGCATATGGGCAGATGTCCGTTTCAAGCATGGTGCTGCTCCTTTCATTTCAGGAAGAGAACCCACTGGTGCCCTGGAGATTGTGCTCAGCTTCCAATGTTCTTTCATAATGAGCCCCAAACCCTGGATTTTACAAAAATGAAATATTTGGAGTAACCCTATCTGTGTTTAGGTGTATGTGTCGGTGTGGGCATGTATGTATGTGTGTCGTATATACTTGTGCATGCACACATACACACAAATACATATACATACATATACACACATACAGAGTAAAAGTGTGTTGTGTGTGTATCAGGCTGAAGCATAACAAAGTTGACAAAAGTGAAGGAGGTCTGAATACTTTCTTAATTCAGTGTGTATGTGTGAGTACACCAGTGATGGGTTTCAACTTTTTTTATTACTGGTTCTGTGGGCATGGCTTGGTGGGCATGGCATGGCTTGGTGGGCGTGGCATGGTGGGCGTGGCAAGGGAAGGATACTGTAAAATCTCCATTCCCACCCCACTCCAGGGGAAGGACACTGTAAAACCTCCATTCCCCCCCCAATTCAGGGGAAGGTTACTGCAAAATCCCCATTTCCTCCCGATCAGCTGGAACATGGGAGGCAGAGAATAGATGGGGGTGGGGCCAGTCAGAATTTTTACTACCAGTTCTCCGAACTACTCAAAATTTCTGCTACTGGTTCTCCAGAACTGGTCAGAACCTGCTGAAACCCACCTGTGGTGTACACTGTCTGGACATAAATGGCATACAATGACAAACCACAACATTGAGAATTGGAAAATAATTAGGAACCTACTGTTGGTATGGTTCTCCACCCATTTATTGATGTAGCTCGCAACAGCTATATTTTGACTAAAATCCACAACTTCAACTTCAGCTTTAAAGTATTTTTTCAGCAGCTGCACAAATTTATCACTAACGTGATATCCATTCTGCACATAAAGGGAATTGGCAAGCTTCATCACGTAATGGCTATCCTCAGTAGCAGCCATGTCAGAAAGATCTTTTAGGAAGGCAAATTCTTCACCTGAAATTAGAGAAAGAGATTAAAGTTGGTCTGACAGAACTGGCAAATATATTGAGAGCTTAACACATCTCACTGCCTTCCTAGGGAAAAAGGATTAATGAGCACTGATATTTCAGTGAAGTCAGGTAGTAAGAAATACTTCATATAATTAACCTTTCTTTGAGAAAAATGAGATGAAACCACGAAGATAAATCTCCAAAGAGCTTTATGAGCAAAACTCCACTTCAATATGGACTTCCCTGGTTGTATTATCAGGAAGTGGTCATTAAATACACCATAACTTTCCTCCTTCCTTTCCAAGACCTTTAAAACTGAAAGCAGTTTCTACCACTTGGTTGTAGGATAAACCAAAGATTCAAGTTCTCCCTCAATAAGTGAGCTTATATTTTCTAAAAGGCTTACAGTATGTAATTCCACACAGGGTGCATTCTGGAGCCTGCCTAATCTGGAAATAGCACAGAGGTGGGCCTCTGCCGGTTCAAACTGGTTCGAGTGAACTGGTAGTTCTGAACACTGGCTGGCCCGCCTGCCCACCCCAGCGCTAACTTGTCCTATTTATCTCATCTCTGGCTTTGTTCCCTGCCCACGAAGCCCAGCTGATTGCGGGACCTCACCTGCTCTACTCACCATGGCTCCATGAGAAGATTTGCTGTGTGTTTGAAGCTGTGTGAAAGCGAGGAAGGTGCGCTCGCTCACATTTCTGGCGCACTGGTTGTTAACGCAGGGATGAAATCTACTTACCTTCCTTACCGGTTTAGAAGCACATGTGCTTGCGCGTCACATGCACGCACAGACCTTCTGTGCATGCGCAAAACCTGTGCATGTGCAGAAGATAAAAAACACATTACTTCCTGGTTAAAACCAGGAAGTAATGACACCCGGGCGGGGCCAGTCAGAATTTTTACCACTGGTTCTCCGCTACCGGTTCTCCAGAACTGGTCAGAACCTGCTGAAACCCACCTCTGATATGAACTAATCAATGGGTGACCTCCCCTATTCCTGGTGTGTGACCCAGATATACCCGAGCTACATTTTCTACGTAAAAGTGTGCATGTGTGTTTAAAATAAAACTTACAATTTTATATGGCACTGTCAATTCTTATTTCCCTCTCCACTGAAGGCTATTTTCTGAATATGAATGTAGGACAAATGATGATCAAAATTATAGCACAGTTTTCTTATTAAATTTGTTTGCATTTCCTTTTCAGAACAAAAGTCCTTTGCTTGATTCCCTGGAATTTTCCAGTTGTCTATTCCAACCTTCAATCAGATGCTCAAGAGAATTATGTCAGTTCTTTTCCTTTTTTTAGATCTAGTACCCCTATTTTTCTCTCTGCGTTTTCTCCTTTGGCTTTGCCTCGGGATATCATATGACTAAACTTCTTACTCTATTTGCAATGGGAAAAGAGAAATTTTGTCTGACCTCCTAAGTATGTGAACAGGACCTGTTTATGAATAGAGGATGTCTGCAATTTGCTGGGTCAGATGTGCTCTGTGTCCAAACTAACAGATTGTGTCAACAGATGCAACATAGTCAAACAAAAGATTGTCACAGAACATACACTAAACTAAATGTCATTTCTCCTTTTAATATTAGGGTCTCATCTTTCTAGAGATGAGATCACATTTCTAGCAATATGAAGATTCACCTAAAGCACCACTCCTGTTCAGAATCTTCATACCAACAACAACAACAACAACAATAATGAAAACAGAGCATATCAAAGATATGACTGACAGACAAACAGTTAAAGTTCAAGGAGATTTAATTACACAGAAGCATCATTTATGAAGTCCTTGGTGCTTCCGAGCTTGATTGTTGCAGACATTTCATTACCCTAGTAGGTAATATCATCAGTATATAGTGGTGAAGATGTTCACCGCCCATTCAGAAGGTTGAGAGTTCAATCCTAGGTAGAGGTAGATGTTTCTCTCCTAAAGTGCAAAGAAAAAAATATTTGCTGCGAACGCCGTATGGCATCAGGAAGGGCACCCGGCCAGTAAACGCTCAGCTCCATCCAGTTGTCTCGACTCTACCTCGAATTAAGGGATTACAGGGTCATGAAAAGAGAGTAGTAAGGTGAACTGATGATATTACTAGTTGGGTAATGAAACCTCAGCAAATTCAAAGAATACCAAGAATTCCATAGTTCAACCCTCAGCTAAATATTGTCTTTTCATCAGATGCATCATAAACATTAAGTACCTAGACTTATTTTTTAATTGACTTGAAAAGTATTATTGAAGCATGTTACCATTTTTCAAACCTTCATAGCCCATGGAGTGCTGAATTTCTTTCAGGGTAGAACCGTGAGCACCGAGCTCCACCATCCCCATCGTTATTGCTATTCCCAGTGGGGAGAAAATAATATTTTCATCTTCTCCTGTAGCTCGCAGCTGATTGTAAACATTCACAGAAAATTCTGCAATGGTTTCATCAGGAAAACTGGTGCTGAAGGCTTCGCTGTGCAAAACAAGAAGCAACAGGAGTCCAAGAACAAACATGGTTGAAGAGTTTCAGATCTGCAAGGCAAACAAGAAGGATAGAAAATGAATCTTACATCATCCACACATGATGGATTAGTGGGATCATTAAATCAATATATGCCTAATGTGAAGAAAAGATGTTTTTCTGGATTTTAAAAAAGTTCTCCACTGAGGAAAAAAAAGGCACTCAAAAAATGGAACTCAGAAAAAAGAAACTCTGTTCCAACTAGTGCTTTGGTTCCTTCTTACCATTTTGTCATTAAAAAAATGGGTATTGCCCCATATGGAACAATGCTTTTCCATCCCCAAGGTTAGATCTTAAAGAAAAGATCAGCATCTGCTCTAGCTACAAAGCAAGACTTAAGACTTTTCCTGTCCCACTTACAGGGGTGGGCTGCTGGGGGTTTGCAGGGGTTCAAGAGAACCTCTAGCTAAGATTCTGTGCAGTTCGGAGAACCCCCAAATCCCACTCCTGTCTGGGCCTGCCCACCCCGTCCCTCCCAGGAGTCCCCACACGGCCCATTTTGGATGCAAGTAATTGCAGGGCGCATGCGCAGGCTCGGAGAGGGTGAAAAATGGGCCTACCGGAAGTTAAAACCCCAAGTTAGGGGAAGAGGGCCTCCGGAGCCTGGGGAGGGCATTTTCGCCGTCCTGGAGGCTCAAAGAAAGCCTTCAGAGCCCGGGGAGGGCAAAAATGCCCCTCCCTCCACCGTGGTGCAGGAGGCTGACTAGGCCATGCCCACATGACCATGCCCACCCAGCAACCAAGCAGAGAAATCCTTGCTAAAAATTTTGAAGCCCACCCCTGCCCACTTGTCTTTGTTTTTAGCTTTCTGCTTGTTTTCAGGGGAGACACAGTGACTTTCTTTTTTCTTTTTTGGGGTGTTAGAACCAAAGAACCTGGAATAAAATAAGACACAACATAATAAGTGTAAGAGGCAATGAGAGCTGCACATATTCTAGTGCCAGGATAGAGGGAAATGTTGCAAATCAAAAGCTTGGCTGAACACACCAAAGATAACCTGTAGTTTAGGGCAGGGGTCTCCAACCTTGACAACTTTACGACTTGTGGACTTCAACTCCCAGAATTCCTCAGCCAGGGTTGAAGTCCACATGTAGTAAAGTTGCCAAGATTGGAGACCCCCTGGTTTAGGGGCATTGTGGCAGCCAAGATCAAATCCTGAGAAACCTGAATCAGAGAAACCTTTTCCAGGTTAAACCCAACCCATGAGCCAGAGGAGCTTCCAGAAGCTGTGGGCAAAGAGGAGGTGGCAAGTAGTACTGTTTGCAAGCATTTCTGCATCCATCAAATGTCCAAAGGATTAGACACTGAGTAGTACCACCTTAGATTGCTTCTGCCAGCTGACTATGCATGCACTAGATGATTCCAAGTGTGGGGACCCAGGAGTAGGTGGTACCAGCAGTGCAAATCTTCTGATTTCTGGGATTGTCCTGCTTTTTCTGGGTCAAGAAAGTAGCACTCAAGTCCTCGGGGCTTGATGAGAACATAGTAATGAGATTTCCCTTTTTCTCATCATTATAATGGCAGATGGAACATTGGATGGATGTTATGGTACACTGGGAAAAGGATGGGAGGAGAGGAATAATATGTGTTACTCTAGTAAGGTCTACCATGATGGCTCAGGACCCTGAGGAGAACAAGATTCATTGGTGACTCAGGGCTTCTCAGGTCCACCATGCTCTATGCATATACAGTAAAATATGGGACCCCCTTAAGCAAAGTAACTCTCCATGGTTAAGTTATATGCTATACCAAAGCAGCCAATGGGGAACAGAGACTATTTCAGAGTAAGCAGAAAGAGAGAAAAGTTCATCCTCTTATTCTCACAAGTTCACCAAAGGAATCATATTCCATATATGATTGAAAAAAAGATTTTCTTCACTGGACGGGAAAGAATTCTGTGTAATGCCTCCTAGCTAGAAATGACATTCTTCTCTATCAAGTCCATCGTTGGTGATCAGAATGACATTTTGTAGGCATTCCAACTTCTGTTCTTCATCACACAGGGCAGCATTTGAGAATCAACAGAGTTCATTCCAAGCCACTAAATTTGTAGTTCTTAAAAACCCTTAGGTTTTTAAGAACTACAAGACAACTATTTTCTGCATTATTTTTCCAAAAGATATGAATAGTCTCATAAAATGGTTGGAGGAACGCTTAGAGAGAGACCCTCTGCGTACGGTCCTTATGTCATATGCACTATTTATTACTGACATTTTAAAATCATTCTATTCCACGACTTTTCATTTTATAGAAATAGAAATATATTATATTATTTTTATATATAACTTTATTATACTTCCACCCCCACCCCCCATAAAATACAAAATAGCAAAGAAAAAAAATAGAGGGGAACGGGGAAGGGACCATGAAATAAAAAATGAAAACTGGGGATGAAAACAAGAAGGAAAAAAAAAGCTATACAGAAAAGAATAACTTTTGACTTTATTCGGAACAGATACAAACATAAAATGCAATGATCCTTTGAATTAGAATAAGTAATAACACACAGTACTGCTATAATCATAAATAAATCTAATCATCAAATCCCAAGGTTAAAGTTTCATTTCTTTCAGATTCAAGCAAAAAAATCCATAAGTGATTTCCAAGTAGAACAAAGTTAGAGAAAATCTTTTCTTTAATCAAAGAGTTCAATTTTGCCATCTCTGCCAACTCCATTAATCTCAGCATCCATTCTTCCATTTGTGAGTCCTTCTGTGCACATAAAAAGTCTTACTGTTGTTGAGATACTGTACTGTATAATAAGAAAAAAAGTTTCATTTTTTTTCTGTCTGTTTGTCCATCAAATTTAAAAGAAAAGCCTGTTACATCAACTTTCTTGGTTAGCTTAGTGGGATATAACATTAATACATGAAATAAAATGGGATAATAGAACTGACCGAAAAATTATAATTAATGGAAAGAGTTGCAAAAAATTGGGTCTAACTCGTGGCGTCACATTGTCGTTATGTGATGTATTGTGACTTTTCCCCCCTTTGCTAAAATGGGGGCGGGCGTGGCCATACCCGGCCCATGGGCTGCGAGTTTTTGACACCCGCGGTCTAGATGAATAAGAGAACTACAGTCACGGGACTGATCTGATTTTACAACCTTTTTTGTGGCAGTCGTAAACTAAATGCCATGGTCAAAAAGTGAATGCTGCAGCCATAAAGTGAACCAGGGGTGAAATCCAGCAGGTTCTGACAGGTTCTGGAGAACCGGTAGCGGAAATTTTGAGCAGTTTGGAGAACCGGTAGCAGAAATTTTGAGCAGTTCAGAGAACCGGCAAATACCACCTCTGGCTGGTCCCAGAGTTGGGTGGGAACGGGGATTTTGAAGTATCCTTCCCCCAGGATTGGGGTGGGAATGGAAATTTTGCAGTATCGTTCCCCTGCCACGCCCACCAAGCCACGCCCACCAAGCCACACCACGCCCAAAGAACCCGTAGAAAAAAAAATTTGGATTTCACCACTCAAGAGAACCAAACTGGAGATGCCCATTTCCGGCAAAACTCTTGTAAAAGATGATCACGGGTGCTGCAAACAATCGTAAATGCAGCCATGTTGCCAAGCTGCTACGTGACTGGCTGGGAGGACCATCAAAACATTAGATTCAAATCATAATTCCCTGTTTTTGGTCAGTCACTTCAATTGGTCATTAAGTAACCAGTCATAAGTCAAGGACTTCCCGTATTGTGGTGTGGTGGCTAAGGCACAATATTAAAAGCAAGGAGATCCAGATTCTTGTCCACCCCCAACTCTGGAAGTTCATTTGATAGTGTTGGACCAGCCAGTGTCTCCCACAGAATTGCTGTTATGGGGAATCTACCTCATAGGGTTGTTTTGTGGGGAAACGCAGTAAGGAGCCATGTATACACTGCATTAAACTCTTGAATAAAAGGTGGAACAGAAATCTAATAAATATATAAATTATTAAGTTAATGTAGCATTCAAGCAATAACAGCTCGAATCTTGCATCCCAGCTAGTTTTAGCCTATGTTTGTGGACGTAAGTATCCTAATAAAAAGCAGAAAAGATAAAATGCTGAGATGTCCCAAAACATATTCAAGGTAAAGGTAAAGGTTCCCCTCGCACATATGTGCTAGTCGTTCCTGACTCTAGGGGGTGGTGCTCATCTCCGTTTCAAAGCCGAAGAGCCAACGCTGTCCGAAGACGTCTCCGTGATCATGTGGCCGGCGTGACTAAATGCCAAAGGCACACGGAATGCTGTTACCTTCCTGCCAAAGGTGGTCCCTATTTTTCTACTTGCATTTTTTATGTGCTTTCGAACTGCTACGTTGGCAGAAGCTCAGACAAGTACTGGGAGCTCACCCTGTTATGTGGCACTAGGGATTCGAACCGCTGAACTGCCAACCTTTCGATCGACAGGCTCAGCATCTTAGCCACTGAGCCACCGCGTTCCTAGAATATATTTGAAAGATGTATAATGATATTTATTCTGTGATACTACTGAATTGATTTTTTTTCTTTGTATATACTTACCCATCAGAAAAAGGTCTTAAAAGTCCCATTCTTTCCTCTACAGCAGAATGAGGACTGGGAGAATTTGTGGATAGGTTTCCAATACCCAAATCGTAGTTCTGAAAGTGCCGAGATTGCTGTATCTTCAATTTTGAGTATGGTTCATTTATGCCTATTTACCAGGACATGTGTATCCTTCTCTCCAGTGACCTTTTGCAATCATGATACTTAACATTTATACGGTGTATCTTATTAGCAAGGCTGTTCCACAAACATCACCTAATTAAATATTGTGGCAGCTCAGAACAGTGTATAATTAAATGTTATTAAACCCATTTTATAGGTGAAGAAGCATCAACTAAATAGGCTGTTCTGTGTATTTTAGCAATGACACTAAAGACCACCTTTTCCAAACAGGTTTTCTTTTCCCTTTTTTTTAAAAGAAAAAAAAAAAAGAACAAAATTGTATTCCTGAATCATATGAGTTCAAACTGCAGACAGGATAAATCATAAATGGATGGTTGAAACTACCG